CCTGTGGGTTAGACTCTTGAGTCGAAGGCGCCGGTTAGGGTTCCTCAAAGAAAAACTCCTTCATCGGCGTGGGCAACCGCGAATTATGCCGCGCCCTAAAGTCTTGGGCACCCAGATAAATCGGAAAACTTTGTCAGTGATCGACTCATACTCGCCCCCAATTGCATCTTACACATGTTTGAGTCCAGACTGTGTGCCCAACAAATCACGATGCAATGATCTTTATAAAAAGAGAAATTTTTATGATTTTTTTTTGGTAGAATACTACCAGTTTGTCCAGGCGAAAAATTTTCTTGGGGAATTCACAATCGAAGCCTTCGGCTAGCCAAGCCGGAATCGCAAGACAACGGGGTTCGGCGTATGGAAACCGCAATCTATTGGAGTTCGGTGTCCAGTTCATCAGATCATACACCCTTTAGACTCGGTCAAAAGTCCAAGGTGCCCAATACACTTGGATGCCCGATCGAGCCGGTAATCTGGAAGGTAGTTGGTTCCGAATCAGAGTTTTTAACCAATCGTTCCCCGACACGTTTATTACCCTGGATATCCACTTTTTGTCCTCTCTCTCTGGTTAGGGGAAATCACCCCCTCCCATGAGGGTGATACATATTGCTTCCTCAGCAAAGGCTGTTTGAGACGCTTGATCGTATTAGAGCATTTTGCTGGATGTCCGGGAAGGGCGATCAGTTACACCCTCTTCTGACCATCCTAAGGGTTTCGAAAATCAAATCTGTAACTTCATGAACGTTAGCAATTTGCTTTCCAAAAAATTAGTGATAGTTTTGTAAACGTATATCTTACTTTCCGATCTTCAACTCACGCACACGATGTCTAAATACGCCTGTTCAACTTGGATATTCAAACACGCTTCGGAATACCGTTTTCTCTTGTCTTCTAATTTCAATATTTCTCACCCCGGTTATGCTAAGTGGTTTGTCGGTTTGTTTGTTTGTTTTCCACTACTTTTTCCCCATTCCCACTCCTAATCGTCTCTAGCCCTCTTTCTAATTCGTCTTAATTTTAGCCCATGAAACCGACCTCCGCTGGCGTCCGATTAGCAAACCGTTCCATTTGGCTCTTCGTGTCCACGATCGAGCCACATTGGTTGGTCCACCGGAGACCCCACGCGATCATGTGCTCGCAGCCGCGAAAGCAATGCGCTATGGTAACTGGAAACAATGCACGCAGTACATTATCAACCCGAAAATGGATGCCAAGGTGAATGGGGTTAAACGGTGTACACACTCGCACAGACTGTATGCAAACCAAATCCAGTTTACTTTTGAGTCCGTTTTTTTGTGTTTGATCGAATTATCCCAGAGTTGTTGTCCTCATCATGTGACTAAACCATAAGTTTGATGTCAGTCATCGTTAATCCTAGTTGGTGTTGGGCGAGTCAGCTGCCAACCAATGTAATTGTTGAGTTCATCCTTTTCTTATTGTGCGCCAATCTAGGTGATCCAAATGGTTATGTATTTCACAAACTCCGCCAGGTATTCTTTTAGGCAGGGCACAGAATTCCGTTCTATTACCGGCACCCATTTCTCTTCAACTTCGCCATAGATGATGTTCTACAAAACGNATAACCTAACAAACACTGGCGCCGAGCTTCTCTTTGGAGGGAGAGTCGTAGACTTGGATTATGTCGATGAAATTGTCTTGCTCGGTGACAACGCACCATCGATTCAAGAGGCGTTAAATCGTTTGGCAATTGAGGGTACTCGCATTGACAGGAACCCGTTCCTGCACTTTTGTTGGATAGTGATACTCTTTAAGTCTACCTTGTCTACCTTGGGAGTTACATAATGGCTGGTGGAGGCGTGGGTGAGATCTCGCAACGCGTAATCAAAGCTAGATTAGCGTTTACTAATCTACGGCATCTCTGGCACCGGTACGGCATATCCCTTTCATTAAAAAGGCGTGTGTATTGCGCAACGGTATACACTGTGTTGCTCTTTGGCTGTGAGATCTTGCCTCTCCGAGCAGATCACGTCCAGTGACTATCAGTCTTCGACAACCGCTGTCTGCGCAACATCGCCCGCGTATGGTGGGAGCACCGCATGAATAACGATGAAGTCAGACGACGGGTGCTAGGATCAGATAGTCTTTCTTTGGGCAAAATAATTTCATTGCATCGTCTTAGGGCACATCCTACGAATGCCTGAGCAACGTCTGCCACACCGTGCACTATTCGCAGACATCCGTCCAGGCTGGATGAAACAGCGAGGTCAGCAGAGACTGTGCTTTGATCTGACTTCCGTTGGGTCTCCCCGACTGAGGGCAGGAAGACTCAAATTGTCTTTGACTGGACACACTGCGGGATGTGGCTTCGAACCGAAATCAGTGACTAGAATGCATCCTTTTACTGTGTGTAATCCTGAAAACAAAAACTCAAAATGGCGTGCAGTAAACAAACAAAAAAATTGGTACTCCCCCAATTTACTGAAGTGGAGCGGAAGCTTCTCTTTCACTTGCATATATCGCAGTATACAAATTTCAATACTGTTCACTCTCCCCGTCCTTTTATACAGATTTGGGATCTGTTCTTCCAATCCAAACGTGTCAAAACCCATTTGGAAAGTCGAATCAAAGAGGAGTCGTTACGCAGTTTTCTGTTCACCTACAGCGCCATTCACGACTCGATCAGTTTGGACCGGTTGGCCGAATACTTTGAGATGCCCAAATCCACGGTCTATTCCATTGTGAGCAAAATGATCATCAACCAAGAATTGGCGGTACGTCCCCCCCCTTCGCTCCTGTTCCCCCTCCCCTCTTCTGTTCGTTTGTGAGAACTTGCACAAATTGTGGCCTGGTCATGTGCGCACAGAAGCCTTGGATATCTATCTGTACATGATCCCGTTGATGGGATAAACACGCATTTCTCGTGAAAAATTAATGTCCACCAGCCTCGTGAAAAAAAAGCTATTTTCACCATTTCGAGAATGAACTTTCATTTCTTCGAATGTTTGACATGAAAACTAGTGAAGTTCGAATTCCATAGTTTCCCTCGATTAACGAACGCTATTTTATCTCAACGGATTTTTTGTTTCAGGGTCACACTCGGCATCAAGAACGTTAAAAGAGACCGGTAACCAAGTGCGACATGTGTTCAGTTGCCGATGTAGCTTCCTCTGTAGCTTTTACCCTGTACTTTGTTACGGGTTGAGTCCATAGGTGTTATTCCGAACACTAGTGTTTGTGAATGTTTTACCAATAGAATATATCTGTGTATATATAAAGCAAATTTAACTATGTTTCCTATAATCTGAACAAATTTGGCATTTCAGAACAGAGTTGTCGGCAGAAATGTGATTTCCACTGAACACTTCCCGCTTCCATCTCTCACTTATCTTTCAGGCTTCACTTGAAGTGCCTAGTGATTTGTTAATCATGCACAAGACCGAACGATCTCGTTTGCAAACGTTGGCCTTACAGTTGAGCGAGAAAGTGAACAGCATTGTGGAAATGAATGAGAAGCTGATCGAAAGTCGCAGTGGCGGTGGTCTAATCGGATCCAAAGGTAAGCATGCATGTTCCCTTCGGTGGCCTTATTGGNTTGGTCGGAATGTTTTTTTTTCGCTCGCTTGCCTGCATGTGTCCCAGGTCTGCAATTCTGGTCTAGCCGTCTTTTTCGGGATCTTTGTGACGTACTTGAAGTAGTGTGTTCTCTACGTTCGGTTCCATCCGTCTACTCATCCCCTTCGTGGCTGCGTTCGCCGTGAACCGTGTGTGACTCACTTGATCCGATGGTTCTCTTCTATAGGGCCGGCTTGTTCAGGCATTCCGTGGATAGTAAATGTTCAGGTGAAGACTTGGCACGAAGGTATGAATACGCAAACCAAGGCTCCCGCGGTTTGAGTACGTCGTAGCCGATGGATTGGTTAGAGGCACTAAGTGATATGACCAAGTGTCATATACAGTAGCGCTCGTGCATCTCGATTCGTGTCCAAGCGATCATACTCTCCGCAACTCGTGCGCATCGCGCACTACAACTCACCGCATTTCAAACACTGAGATGCATCATTTAGAATTGCTAACCTGTGGAGCGTCCTCTCACTCTCTGATCCCCACCTCGTTACAACCATCCTCTCTTCATGAACAGGTTCGATAGACTAATTCTTATCTTCGTCTTACCATTGTGAATTCCGCTTTGGTCGTGGAATTTACCGATTCTATGAGGCATGAAAAACAGAAACCTGATAAGAGCGATGGTCACTTAGCCTCGAGGTGGACGAGGGAAGAATATGCCAAACAGAACCGCCGAAACGAGGTCTGAACACCGAAACCACAATAGTAACGGCATAGAAGAGAATGTAGCGAATAGTCGATAATAGGAAGCGGATGCAAACTCCGGTTGCTCAACGCGACCGGATTGCCTTATCTTGAAGCCGGTCAAGAAAAAAAAACACCCACACAGTACAGAATTTACGCCTCATTTGCAACTGCAATATTCCAATGGGTTTGAGCTTTGTGTAAAAAAAGAAAATAGGGTGAACAGGCGAATTAAAGTGTCTCATACACAATGGGAGACTATACATGAGCCCAGTTTGAGAGCCAAGCATGAATATTAGTAAATACAAACGAAAAGCAGAAACGAGACCAGGGGTAGAGATCCAATTCCATCGGTGAGAATAACCACAGCTTTTTGAAGAATTTTGAAAGGCGAGACATTTAGGAAGCAATAAAACAGATCCCTGCTTATCAAATTGGTGCATCCACAACATTCTACACTGACATCATCCTTTGTGAAGTGATTAAAACTTTCGTTCGCTCACCTCTCGTATATCAATAAGTGTGCAAATAGCAACCATTTTTAGTGAGTGTTCCATTTGCCAAGTATTAGCAGTAGTAGCAGTAAGCAACTGCTCGAATAACGAGCGCTGTTCTTCCAGTTTGTGCTTTGTTCTCCAAACCCACTGTGTTGATTTGGAACGTTTTCACTTGCTGACTGATGTCCTTGTCTTCCAAGTTGGCTAGTTGTAGTCAGTGCGTTATTATTCCTCAGATTGCATTTTACTACTTAGGAACTACACAGTAGTGGGAAATTTATTTTGTAAATTCTACCTACACGCCCAGGTTTACTCAATGTACTTTCATTTGGAAATTCTCAGCACCAACTAACACCAACCCGTCTCACTTTTATTTGTCCCATTCTATATGCAGGTTCTCAGGCATATCAAGGACGTAAGTCATTTCTTTTTTCAGTGTACGCATTTCTCGTATTTCGTTGTGTGCAACAACCCACCAAATGACCAACGTGTGAACTCATGTCACTTAATCCATTTTCCAGATTGATGCAATTATTCGCAATCCGAAACTGGTAGGTAACTGTATAAACTACCGTACTTGTCACCCTATCTTTCAGACCTTAGTTATTTCCCCGGAAATCAGCCGTCCGAACACAGGACGCACAACAGGATCTGTTGGGGGAATAGATAAGATTTGAAACTTCGATTATTCGGTACTAAGGATGAGCACACGCTGTTTGTCCGAAGAGGCGTTTTCGTCTTCTGGAACTTGAGCCCGTCCGTTCGATAAAGAGTTTTAATGATCAATTAACCTGTCGTTCCCAAACATTCATTCAAAGCTCTCTGTCAACTTGAACAAGATAGTGGATAAGCAAGTGCCTCATGGAAGGGATCCAGTTCTCCGTTGCCTGTGGTATTCTGTATGGCTGAATCTTTTTGATACGGCAGAGAGGTGCAACAGATCCATCTTTAAGTCCCACAGTGGAAAACTAGTCTTATCTTCCAATACATAAAGATCAGTATCACCTTGTGGCAATATTTCTCCGGCTCTGAAAGGGCAGGTACCGCCTTTTGACTCCAATTCCTACTGGAGGCATTCCTCATATTCATTAACCAATGAAAATAAAAAATTAACAATCTTCTGCTTGGTATTTAGTATCTAATTATTGATCCGTATTATCAATTCCGACAAGCTCTGTTCCATCCAATTCTCTAAATACGCCAGTGAGTAACTTCTCACCCGGTGACTTACACGACTAGAAGTTTTCTTGGATCCGACCAGTCGTCAGCCGTATTTGTATACATTCAGTCATTCAATAGAGACAGGCGTGACTCAATAGAACGGTCGTTATCTCCAAACCCCGTTGTTTCTACCCTTTTGTTGTGACCCAAACCGGATGAACGGGTACCATGACCCGGGAAGTTGAATGTGTCAACCAGTACCCGTAAGATACGATACCATCGACCTCAATCAGCGAGATACTCAGTAAAATGCGATTCTCCAAACCCAATGAAAAAAAACAAAACAGAGGTTTGGACAAGGGATACTCAATCGATTGACGCTTCCCAAATATGAATTTTATAAAAATGAACAGAGGGTTGCGGTCTCCCTATCATTAGGTCATTTTTCCTACGTCCAAAGTGTCTCGCACTTGCCCTGTTTAACTCCACCTTCCATTTGTAACCGGTGAAATTTTCGACTACCCTTTGTCGCACACGTTTATATTGCTCATAGGACGTGTTTTTGGCCTGTCCGGTCGCTTTTGACGGTACGTCTCCTGACTTCATCCGACTATATTCTCTTGGGTCTTCTAATCATCATGAGTTTCCCGATTTCGATGGCGGTGGTTTTTGTGGTGGTGGTGGTGGTGGTCGCGGTGAATTATTCACTCGGGAATGATGGCGTTTTCTGTGTGTGTGTGTGTGTGTGTGTGTGTATGTGCGCGCACACACGCCCTAATGCGTTTGTGTGATCCTAATCGAAACCTCACGTTACTCATCCACTCGATCTAATCGGTTCATTCCGCACTGTTTGTACTAACACCCGTATCATCTCTCATTGCCCCTTCCCCGACTCTGCTCATTTCGTTATCTCTCTTCATTGACCATATCACTGATTCTCCGTGTGCTGTTCGTGTGTGTGTATAACCCGTTGGAAGCCATGAGTGTTTGTAACCGGCTTTTTTTAACTGATTTTCCATGATCGGGGCGGGGGNGGAGTTACCCCTCTCACCGTGGTGGTGGTGGTATGATGGTGAATACTACTGTACGTACAACCGGTCTGAAATAATTCAGTTTGTCTTATGATTGCCCTCTCCCGCCCCGATCTCCTCCGTGTTCCCGGGTACGGCTGGTGATGCGTTCGAAACAGAATCCCGACTGACATCTCAATTGGACACTGGATTGTTGTGTTAACCCCGGGGCCAACCTGTTGGTATTTTTCGTGCGGTTTACCACATCAAAGACCCCCACATCGATATGCAACCTCAGATCAGGCGAATCGGGAACATTGTCCAGGGCAACCCAAGTGCAACAATCCTCTGACTGCATGGAGAGAAATAAAGACGTGAAAATCGGTCTGAAGGGTGTATCATTTGCATCGGTGTTACTACTTGCTTGGTTTACTCACTTCATATATCGGAACGTTTTCCTTCAGAACGGCCAAGACGTAAAATGGATGGAGAGACATGTGTTTATTTGCCTGGGAAATGAAACTTCTGATACTGAGTTACATTTAAGTACTCGGCAAAAACGGATGCCCAACTATTTAGTTTTGTAGCTGCTTCAAGACGGGACTTATACCATGTCGAACGGTAAATATGCAAGAGAATGCATTTTGCCCGGTCACGTTATGTACTAACTTGTTAGAATCGGTTAAGAAGTTAGCAAGCGTAACGTCAGATGACCGAATGCATGTCATGCTAACTGACGATAGGGAGGTAAGCGTGGTCAGTAGACTAAGACATCCATTGCTGTTGAATTAAACTAGTTCCGATAATTTTCCATAGATAATTATTTCGCCATCGATTTTCAAGATTGCCATCGATTTTCAAGATCGCCTTAGATACACGCCTCATTCCTTCTTGAACTGGAATAAGGCCTAGCATCGAAATCCGCAGTTTTCCCCGGGTTTTCTATTTCCACTGCATATATATATATATATATATATATATATATATATTCACACACGCTCAGTTCAGACCGTGTGCCAAACAAATCACGGTGCAACAACCCCTTATTTACTCGACGGCTATATACGGCTAGGTTGCCCCGGCCAAAGCAGGAACTTCAAAACCAGATTCTTCGGTTCATCGGAGCCTGACTCGCGAGGCAACGGGGATCAGTGTGTAAAAACTACAATCCATTGGGTACAAAACGTGTGCAGTTCATCAGATCATACGCCCTTTTGTATGGGGTCAAACGTCCACTTCACTGGGTTTCGATCACACTGAATCTCCTGTCTGCTCATTATCGTGCATTATCGTCACAATTATTTCGAGAGGATAAAAGCATAAATTTAAAGCAGTTGGAAATATATTGAACGTTTTGGTTGCTAATAAACCGTTGCTGCTGCGTATCGATCCCACGGGGTTCAATGTGCTACTTTTATAGTAGACAGTTTCGCTTTATACAAAGTACGATGTGAGAACCACCGTGCTTATATATATATATATATATGCGTGTGTGGGTGTGTAATCGGCACGGATAGTGGTTCAAATCCATCCGACTTCATGGTTTACGTCCCTTTTCTAACACTCGGT